AGGTTGTGCTTAGTAGGAATGTTATCTTTAATGAATCTGCTATGTTTTAGGACAACCTATCTGTTAATGCCCCTGTTGAGGGAGAGAAAATAAGTGTGTAAGTGGAGCACTTAATTGATGCACCAGATAATGGTAATGTTGCTACCCAAGATGCACCCATTGTTGAAATTTCTCCAATTGTTGATGATTCTTCTATTGTTGAGCATTCTTCTCCAATTGTGCAGTCTCGCATTCTTCTCCAGTTGTGCAGTCTCCACAACATTCTATTGCTGCTGGTAGGGCCAGAAGGCAGCCCAAACCAATTAAAAGGTTAATTGAAGAATGCAATGTTGCTTATGCTATGAGTGTTGCAGAAGAGATTGAAGGTAATTCAGAAACTTCTAATCATTCTGAGGCTATTACTTTTGCTGATTGCAACAACTAGATGGCCACTATGCAAGATGAAATGGAGTCACTTGAAAAGAATGGTACTTGGGATTTAGTGAAATTGCCCAAGAATAAAAAGCCTGTCTGTTGCAAATGGATTTTTAAAAGAAAGGAGGGTATTTCTCCTAGTGAACCAGCAAGGTATAAAGCAAGCTTGGTTGCTAAAGGTTATAGCCAGATTCCAGGTATTGATTTTAATGATGTCTTTTCCATAGTTGTTAAGCATAGTTCTATTCGCACTTTACTTAGTATTGTTGCCATGCATGATTATGAACTTGAGCAACTAGATGTTAAAGTTGCATTCTTATTACATGGGGAGTTGGAAGAAGACATTTATATGAACCAACCTGAAGGTTTTGTTATTCCTAGAAAAGAAAACCTTGACTGTAGACTAAAGAAGTCTCTTTATGGTTTGAAGCAATCTCCTAGGCAATGGTACAAAAGATTTGACTCGTTTATGCTCTCTCATGGTTTTAAGCGGTCTGATTATGATAGTTGTGTTTATTTGAAGATTGTTAATGGCTCAGTTATTTATTTGCTCCATTACGTTGATGATATGCTGATTGCTGCTAAAGAAAAATCAGAAATAGCTAAATTGAAGGCACAATTGAATAAGGAATTTGAGATGAAGGATTTAGGTGTAGCTATGAAAAATCTTGGTATAGAAATTGTTAGAGATAGAAAATCTAGCAAGTTATACCTCAGTCAGTGAGGTTATATTGAAAAGGTTTTCCATCGTTTCAATATGCATAATGTAAAACCAGTGAGTACTCCGTTAGCTGCACATTTCAGATTATCCTCAGCTTTATGTTCGGAGTCAGAACATGAAATTGAGTACTAGTCTAGAGTTCCATATTCCAATGCAGTTAGTTCTCTTATGTATGCTATGGTTTTTTCTCATCCTAATTTATCTAATGCATTGAGTGTTGTCAGTAGATTCATGGCTAATCCTAGTAAGGAGCATTGGAGGGTTGTTCAGTGGATTTTCAGATATTTACGAGGTACTTCTAATGCATGTTTGCAATTTGGAAAATCTAGAGATGGACTTGTTGGTTATGTTGATTCTGATTATGCTGGTGATCTAGATAAGAGGAGGCCTCTCATGGATGATGTTTTCAATGTTGGTGGTTGTGCTGTTAGCTGGAAGGCAAGTTTGCAGGCTACTGTTGCTCTGTCTACTACATAAGAAGCTGAATATATGGCTATTTCTGAAGCTTGTAGAGAAGCTATTTGGTTGAGAGATTTATACTCTAAACTTTGTGGGGTTACTTCTTGCGCTACTATACATTGTGATAGCCAGAGTGCTATTTGTCTGACTAAAGATCAAATGTTTCATGAAAGGATCAAGCACATTGATGTGAGATGTCATTTTATTCGAGGTGTCATTGCTGAAGGTGATATTAAGGTGTGCAAGATAAATACACGTGATAATTCCGATGATACATTGACAAAGCCTATTCTTGGAGCTAAGTTTGAGTTGCGCTCAAGCTTAGTTCGTATTACAGTTTAAGTCCTAGTGACTTTTGGCGTCGGTGATTATTTATTATTGAAGTGAGTTGATTGATGATACTTCATTCGCTACAAGATGGAATTCATCTCAAGCTGGAGTTTGTTGGAGTATGATCCGAATTCTAACATGAGTCTTACGGGGACGCCTAGAGGACCCGTGGTTCGGCTTATGTTTATTCACCGATTTGTTTCCGTATTTGACTGCAGTCAGTCCATCCAATAAATACATGTTGTAAGCCGCAAGGGAAGAGCTGATGACTCATTGTATTCCCTGCGTTCTGTAAACTCTCATCATATAGCGAAGATCACCGGTTGGCGCCCGTAGTTTTTCCGCAAGGGTTTTCCACGTAAAAACATGTGTCTCGTGTTCAATCTTTATTTACATTATTTACTAACAGGGAGGAGGAGGGCGTCCGCAATCGCGCCGCCCCGCTCGCACAGGTGGCCGTCGCCCTGGTCACGTCGAGAGAGAGGGAGCAAGCAGATAGGAGAGTGTGAGAGGAGGGGAAGGAGAAGTAGAAGCTTTGGGAAGGAAAGCGGAAGCCGGATATATATTCGTTTCGCTGGATTCGGGTGAGAAGCTGGAGAAGCCAAAAAAAAGCAAGGAGAAGCCAGAGGGAACGATGAGAAGCCGCTCCAGACGAGAATCGGCTCCAAGCAAGCTAGGCCACAGGATGCAAGATCCAACGGAGGAAATAATGGAGGCGACGTGGACAGCATAGCTGGGCATGGAGTCGTTGCGTTTTGTAGGGGAGAAAAAGCAATCATCAGTGTCTGTTTTGAGTTTTCCTTCTCCGGTTCCCCTCCCTTCTCTGTTTTTGAGTTTTGCGTTCCTGCACTTTTGTGGATGGTTTGAGTTGTTGGATTCGTGCAAAGACCCATGATGAACTAATCTGCCAAAGGATTTGGCCAGATTCATCTCGAGCGTAAGAATCCACCCTTGGGAAGGATTTTTTTTTAAATCCCCTTTTTGGATTTGGTTTCCGAGATTGATTGCGTTCCTTTGAGTTCTTGGTGTTGATGCTCTGAGAACATCCTCTCAACACCCCCAGTAATTCCCCTGCAAAGTTTTAGATAGATCGGAGTTGATTTAAATCAGCGATTTTTTCTTGAAATATTTAGTTGTGGCTAGCACATACGTACCGGACATGCCCGGTGTGAATACTAGACAATTCTGGTATTCAAACCTTTGAGTTTGGAGCTGAAATTTGGTGGGTTGCTTCCTTAAGGTACTGTGAGCTTGTGTCTTTTTTTCTCGAACATGCAGGAGAGTTGCGTATCTTTGTATTAAGAAGAAAAAAGGGGCAAGAGCCCTTACAACACACACCCACACTCCTAATCTCTTAGAAAAACACACACGCCTTTTACTAAGACAAAAAACAACCTCACCTCCACAAAAAGAACCCTACATCTACAGGCTCAAGAGAACAGCTTCCCTGAGCCTTTGCAAGACTCCAGTAACGTTATTCCTCACTTGCGAGCAGCAATGCTCCAGCCAAGTTAGGCGGAGTACCATCAAAAATGCATCGAAATTGCGATAGTTTTTGAGCTTGTGTCTCAAATTTTATAATTTTTGGACATCGTTTGATAGGGTTTTCACTTTTTCTCCCAAAGTGACTTAGTGCTATCTCGTTCATACCAGACAAGTCCGGTAAGACCGGTATGCACACTGGACATATCTGGTGTGATCTGAGTTTTCGGGGTTTTTTTATGGTTCGTGCTCGATTAGCTCTCCCTTCTTCCCCGCTGTGTTCTCTAAGGTTTCTTGCACCTGGTCACCTGTTGGCCTGCGTGAACTCATTTTGGAGAATCCGGTTTTTTGCGAGTGTTTTCAGAATTGATCTGGAACAGCTGCCGAAATCAGAAGAAAAATAGATTCGTCTCCCATTCACCTCCCTCTTGTCGTTGTTCTTGGTCCTTCAACAAGCTAGATACTTGCATCATATCTACATCAGCTACCTAACCGACACGGATACTTTTGAGTAGGTATGCGGTCTTGCGATTCGATAACCAGCATGGATTAGATTCATGAGAAGGCACGTATGATGTGTATTTCAGCAGTAGTGAGTCCAATAGTATTAGGATACCATTCAAAATTGAAGATCTAAGAGCTTTTTCTTGGTTACTCCATTGACTTCCACATTCAGCTCAAGACTCAATGATATCAAAAATCAATCTCCTTGAATATAACGATACGTTTGACATTTTGGTTGATTTTCATTAATGCCTGGTCACTTTGCTTAATTGATCTTGTCAAAAACCACAAAATTCAATCTCACACCCATTTGAACCGAACGATCATAGAAAAGCTTAGCTTGTCTCTATCATTGACTTCATGGCGCCCTTGACACTTTATTACATATTCCTTCAGGATATTGTCATACCATCTGCTAGACTGCAGCATTAATATTGGAAGAGATCAGATTCACTAACGTTCATAAAAAAGGGATCGTTAAATAATGATTAATTCATTGATGAACTGATCGACAGAGAAAACTGATAAGCAAACAAACCATTTTTGAATGAAAAGAACAACACATATCCAAGGAGGCCGCGCCAAAACCTACGAATTAGGTAAACAGAGCCGGTTTTGTACAAGACAGTCTTGACGAGGGGAACTATATGACATTCAAGTTCAACAAGTATGATATCATGAATTCACTTTTCTTAGAATCTTTTTGGGAAACAACCAAGAAAAGTCCACACCATTATTTATCTTCAATTCAACAACCAAGACTATGCATTCTATCAGAAATTCAGAATGGAAAATACTCCTCTACCTTTTCACATTTTCCTAATAACAAAACTGACTTCTTGATTGAGAATCCAAATCATGTGATGTGTGTCGTATGAGAAATTTGTGCGAGTTGCAAACCTCAAAAATTTGTTGTACAGTTAGTGTCCAAATATAATCTCTTCATATCTAAACCCAAATTAAATACTCTCATCACATTGGTGTGAAAAAAATATGAACTCAAACTCAAAATTCATGCAGGGTAAGGATATTTATGTATACCTCCATTTTATTCATAAATCAAACATGGTAAGCATATTTATACCTTCATTTATAATGTTAAGGTGGTGGCTCTGCTGCCCATGTCCATGGATACCAATCTCACGTCCCCTGTCTCCTTGAGGCACTCAAGTATACTAACTACAGCATCCAAGGCATTGCACTCTGACCCTACCATTATCTTCAGGCGAAATTCCTGTGATGTTTCCTTTACCTCGAATGCTTCTCTATTGATATCGATATCGACCTCAATCTTTTTGCTAGAAACGTCGCCTGGATCGCCTCCGTTGTTGCGGTGGTGCAGCAACTCTACTAGCATCCTGTTCTTCTCCTCTATCTCAGACAGTCTAGACTCGAGAGTGGTCACGTAGTGCCTTGCTCTGATCAGTATGGATGCTTTATCTTTCTGCCAGGACAAAGAAATATTTCTTTTAGAAATGGTCTGACAGATAAGTTGATTCAGAAGAAAGAGGATGAATAATCTAGTGGCCAATAAGTACCTTGGATGCAGGGGGGAGCACTGTCCTGAGAGCCTTGAAGCTATCGTTGAGCTTCTCGCGGCGCTTGCGCTCCGACAAAACGTGCTGCTGCTGGTTGGAGTTGTTGCTTCCGCTGGTCGGTGCAGCTACTGCCATTTCCATCTGGTAGCAGCACTGCCGCCACTGGGCAAGCCTGATCATGTGCATCCCTGCCACAGTTGACATGGCCGCCTTGATCGCCCTCTGCCCACCGGAGCCTGGCTTGGGCTTCTTCTTCGGGCTGAGGTGGCGGACGTAGGGCTTGAACGCACCGCCACGGCCATTCTTGTGCTGTGCTCGTTCGCTGTGAGCTTCTTGGCACTCGAATTCATCCAGGTTTAGGATCGTGTCAAGGTTGCCATAGTACTGATGGTCATAGTGGTGGTCGCTGTTGTAGGTGATGACTGGGGAGAGCTGTATCTGCTGGGAAGTGACCTCTGCCGTGTAAAGTAATCTGTTGCTCTTCCAACGTGTGAACGCGCGGCAGGGACAGGCGTCGAAAGGACTCCCTGTTGCTACACTATAGCAGCGACAGGAGCAGGCGCCGAAAGGCTCCCCTGTCGTACTGTAGCCACAGCAGGGGCAGGCGTCAAATTCAGCCCTGCTGTCACATCTAGTCTTTGTAGCAGCATGACAGTCTGGCACGTCTGTGTACTAGGAATAGATGGGTAGAGTTGTATTTATAGCTTCCCACTGCAACTCAGTAAAGTGAGCGAGTTCAGTTTTGCCATCTCCTCTACAGAGCTCCGGCCAACGCTGATGCTTGTGCTGTGTGTGCACGTGCTCTGTTCTCCCTTCCTTCTTCTACCTCTAGCCATAGTGTGTGGTCGGCAACGCTGGTGAGCTATCGGCTCACCCGTGCCGAAGATCCAAAGGCCAACAAGTGGTATCAGAGCGTCATACAAGCACCGTCGCCGAACTAACCGCTGGCGATGATGCATGGTTTGGAGATGTGCGACAGCAGCGGCGCTGCTGTGGTTGTCCAGCCACGACAGGAGGTCGTCGTGCGCACGGTGTGAGAGGTCAGCGGCACCAGTTGGCCGACGCTGACTCGCACCAAGTATGGCAAGTGGGCGATGACCATGAAGGTCAAGCTCAAAGCCCGATGGCTCTAGAATGCTATTAACAAGGACACCAACAACGAAGAAGATGATGCATTGGAGGCTATCCTCGCTACTGTGCCAGCGGAGTACAGGGAGCCGTTGGGGGCGAAGAACTCTGCTAAGGTGGCGTGGGAGGCCATTGCAGCGATACGCATCGGCTCCGACCGCGCAAAGAAGGCGACGGTCCAGCTACTGAAGCAGGAGTACGCCAACCTCAAGTTCAAGGATGGTGAATCGGTGGAGGACTTTTCCCTCCGCCTGTAGTTGCTCATCAGCAAGCTGAGGAGCCATGGCGTCACCATCGACGAAGAAGTGACGGTCTCCAAGTACCTCCACTCCATGCCGGTGAACTACATCCAGATCACTCTCTCCATAGAGACGATGCTAGACTTGTCTACCCTCACCATTGAGGATGTGATAGGCCATCTACGGGCGGTGGATGAGTGCATGGAGCAGGCCACAGCAACGACGGACAGCCGCAAGTGTTGCTGACAGAGAAGGAGTGGACTGCTCGGAGGAAGTCTAGGGAAGCCTCCTCTAGCCGCGGTAGCGATGGCAAGCGCCGCAGCAAGGCTTCTTTGGAGAAGAAGAAGAAGGTCGACCCCAACGTCTGCCGGTGCTGCGGGAAGACAGGCCATTGGGCAAAGGAGTGCTCAAATCATAAGCAGGAGAAGAAGGCTGAGGCTTATTTAGCGCAGGCTGATGAGGATAATGAGGCCACTCTCCTGATGGCGATGTCGCACATAGGCGAGCTGTGTGATAGCTGCTTGGCTGGGAAGTAGAGGAGGCTGTCATTCCCAAAGGCGGACAAGTATCGCGCGGGCCAATCACATCAGCCACAAACGGTGGTCGGCGGTACTTCCTCATGCTCATGGATGATTGTAGTCGCTATATGTGGCTGCAACTCCTGATGAGCAAGGATGAGGCGGCGGAGGCGATCAAGAAGTTCAAGGCACGCGTGGAGGCGGGGAGCGGCAAGAAGCTGCGCGTGCTGCGAACTAATCATGGCGGTGAATTCACTTCGGTGGAGTTCGCTGCGTACTACGTGGATCATGGTGTGGTGCGACACCACACCGCGCCGTACTCGCCACAGCAGAATGGCATGGTGGAGTGGCAGAACCAGGTGGTGGTCGGCATGGCTCAATCCATGATGAAGGCCAAGGGCATGCCGGCAAGGTTCTGGGATGACGCAGTGACCACGATGGTGTTCATCCTCAACTGCGCGCCCACCAAGGACCTAAAGGGCAAGACACAGTCAGGAAGATTCGGCTGCATCGGCCACATTTGGTATGGGCGCAAGCCGAGCATGTCCTTCCTCCGGACATTCGGCTGCATCGGCCACGTTAGGAAGATGAAGCCGGTCCTCACAAAGCTAGAGGACAAGAGCACACCGATGGTGCTCCTAGGCTACGAGGAAGGTACCAAGGCATACCGGGTCTATGACCCACGCGGAGGCAAGGTGGTTGTTTCGCGCGACATTGTGTTCGACGAGAAAGCGGTCTGGGACTGGGATAGTCTGGGCATGGGGGAAGCTGGTGGCTTCACCACCACCTTCATTGTCGAGCACTTGGTCATCCACGGTAGTGGAGACGCTGGAGAGGAGGTGCCGACCACTCCAGCAACAGAGCCGAGCATTCCTAGGGTGGTGCCGAGCACTCCAGGAGGGGTGCCAAGCACTCCAAGAGTGGAGCCGAGCGGTCCTGCAGTGGTACCGACCACTACAGGATGGGTGCCGAATGCTCCCATAGCAGAGCCAAGAGGTCTTTTAGTGGTGCCGACCACTCCAAGACTGGTGCCAAGCACTCCGAGAAGGGTGCCGACCACTCCAGGAGCGGTGACGAGCGGTCCAGGAGTAGTACCGAGCATTGCAGCTGGGGTGCCAAGCACTCTAGGTGCTGTGCCGACCACTCCGACAGAACAGGGAACTCCATCGATGTCGATCGAGTCCGTATCACCTCCAAGCGACATCACTGAGTTCGTGGATGCCTTGCACGATGGTGAGGAGGTGCGGTTCCTTAGGCTGGACGACATCGTCGGTGGCACAGGGTGCTCAGGCCTGGCGGGTCGACTGCTCAATGACCCAGAGCTGCTTCTCATCAGTGTAGAGGAACCACCTACTGTCGGTGTTTTGAATAAACACCAACTAGTAAATTTGTATTTGTTGCGCGTTAGGCCCGGATGGTGTACTAAAGGACACAAGGTTTATACTGGTTTGGGCAGAATGTCCCTACATCCAGTTTCCTGCTGGTCGTGTTATTAGTACTAAAAAAAGGTTCGTAGTAGGGGGTACAAACAGTCGAGAGAGGGATATGTCCCAAGTCTCTGATGGAAAGGTCGAAAGGAATGCCAAGAGCTCGGTTGCCGCTTGGCTGTGTGTTGTGTGATGTGTCATGTATGAAATCGATCCGTCCCCTTAGTGGGGTGTCCTGCCATCCCTTTTATAGACCAAGGGGGAGCAGAGGTTACAGATGGGAGAAAGAGGAAAAACCCAAAGGTCGAGCCGGTCCTTCAAAGGTGACGGGTCTTTCTTTTCCCTTGAGCCTGCCCTGCTGACATGGCAGACTATGCCAGGGATAGCACGTTTATTGATCCTGATAGGGCCATGCTCTGGCTTTGTTTCAGCAAGTGGTCACTTCCCATCCTACTCCGGTGGACAGTGCAGCATACCAGGGTGCCGAGCCATGACCCTACGGGGAGCAAAATGGGGAAGTGACCATACGTTCGTTGTTGTTGATAATGTGAGTTCAATCCTGACTGTAGTGGTTGTCGTATGCTTGTCTTAGGATCCGCGTCCGAGGGCTGATGGCGGCGCCCACAATACTGTAGGACAAAAGTCGGCGCCTATGACACTATTCAGGCTCTGTCATGCCTGGGAGGGCTAAAAGCGCCCGTCCCGTCGTACCCTGATGGTACTTTACCATAGGCGTGCAGGGCATGGTCCTCGGTACTATGGTTGACTTAAGTGTCCTGTCTTACCCTATGCTTGTCATTATGAAGGGGCAGGGCATAGACGTTAGGCGAGGTGGAGCCAGCCCCGGAACGTCGAGCGAGGCGGAGCCAGCCCTCAGCCGTCGGGCAAGGCGGAGCCTGCCCTTAGCCGTCGAGCGAGGTGGAGCCAACCCTCAGCCATCGGGCGAGGCGAAGCCTGCCCTCAGCCATCGGGTGAGGCGGAGTCAACCCTCAAACATCAGGCGAGGCGGAGCCAACCCTCAGCCATCGAGCGAGGCAGAGCCTGCCCTCAACTATCGAGCAAGGCAGAGCCAGCCCTCAGACGTCAAGCAAGGCGGAGCCAGCCTTCAAACGTCAGGCAAGGTGGAGCCAGCCCTCAGACGTCGGGTGAGGTGGAGCCAGCCCTCAGCCGTCGGGTGAGGTGGAGCCAGTCCCTAGTCGTCGGGCGAGGCGGAGTCTGCCCCTAGACATCGGACGAGGCAGAGTCTAGCCCTCGAGGGTCGGGTGAGGCAGAGCCAGTCCCCGGTCATCGGCCGAGGCAGAGTCCAGCCCTCGGTGGTCAGGCAAGGCGGAGCCAGTCCTCGGTCGCCGGGCGAGGCGGAGTCTGCCCCTAGATGTCGGGCGAGGCGAAGTCCAGCCCTCAGGGGTCGAGAGAAGCGGAGCCAACCCTTTGGGGCCGGGCGAGGCACAGCCAACCTTCGGTTGTATGGGCAAGAAGTGTAGTTGTGTTCTTGCCTATTCGCAAGCATCAGCGTTTGATGGTTATTAGTTCCACCTCTTTGGGTACCCCAGTAATCGGTCCCTGACACCTACGTTCGCATTGGCCGAGCACGATGCAAATTGGCGACAAGCGATGCTGGAGGAGACGAAAGCGATCGAGAAAAACGAGACTTGGGAGCTCGTCGATCCACCTCTAGGATGTTGTCCGATTGACCTAAAGTGGCTGTACAAGGTCAAGCGTAACGAGCGCAGTGCCATTGTCAAGCACAAGGCGCGCCTCATCGCCTGAGGCTTTGTCTAGCGCGAGGCCATCGACTTCGAGGAAGTCTTTGTGCCGGTAGCACGCATGGAGTCTATCCGACTGCTGCTGGCTTTGGTAGTAGCGAAGGACTGGCGCGTCCATCACCTAGACGT